CGGGGGAGTCTCGAGTCCTGCTCGACAGCACCCCCTGGTGGGGAGCTGGGCACTAAACTCTGGCTTCATGGCTGGGCTCCCGGCCCCTTGCCCCCCCTCCAGATCGCCAGGACCTGGAGCAGGCCGACAAGGTGGACAAGCTGCAGGAGCCGCTGCTGGAGGCGCTGAAGATCTACGTGAGGAAGAGGAGGCCCAACAAGCCCCACATGTTCCCCAAGATGCTGATGAAGATCACGGACCTGCGCAGCATCAGCGCCAAGGGTGAGAACCCGGCTGGGTGGGGCTGGAGGGGAGGGGAAGGGCTGGGGCGGGGCAAAGGGGAGAGAGCCTAGGCTGGTGAGGGGCTGGCGGGGGCTTCTCCCTCCCCCCAGGCAGTGGGGCGCTTTGATTTGGGCTGGAGTTTGGCCGTGGGGCCAGGTTTCTCCCCCCACGTGTGTGTGACCGAGGGAGGGGGGCAGGCTGAGTGCAGAGAGGGTGACTCCAAGCAGTCTCCGGGTCTGGCTCGCGCTGAGCCGTCTCCCCCCGTCTGCCCGCAGGCGCCGAGCGGGTGATCACGCTGAAGATGGAGATCCCCGGCTCCATGCCGCCCCTCATCCAGGAGATGCTGGAGAACTCGGAGGGCCTGGACACGCTGGGCGGGCAGCCGGGCGCCTCCCGCGTGAGCAGCCTGGCGCCGCCCCCCGGCAGCTGCAGCCCCAGCCTGTCGCCCAGCTCCAACAGAAGCAGCCCGGCCACCCACTCGCCGTGACGCCGCGGCCGGCGCCGGCGTCAGGACGCCGTTCTTGCTCTTTGCTGCCAGGCCCGAGGGCCGCATGGCAAGCCAAGGAGGAGGGGGAGGAGGTGACGCTGCCGCGGGCCACCCCCCTCCTCCGGGCCCCAGCCCGTTCCTGTCCGTATCAGCACACACTGTGGCCATGGCTTCCCTGTTGACTTGTGACGGACTCTTCCGTAGAATCAGAAGTGGATCCCGTGGGCACTGCCAGGGGGCACTGAGCCCTCGCTGGGATCAGCTGGGGCCGGTTTACAGACCCCCAGCGACTGATGTTTGTACCCAGGTTGGAGCAAACTAGCGCCCCGCTCCCCCCCACTCTCACCCCCCCCAGCGCGCTGTCGCAGGGGTCCGGCCCACGGCTGGGGGGCGCTGCACCCATGTGAAGATGAAGTGTCTTTTGGTTGAGTTGCATTTCAAGTGTTTCCGGGGGGGTTGGGGGGAGAGGGTCAGTTTGGGAAACGTTAGTTGTTTTTTAAAATTTTCATGAGCAAAATCGATCAGCGGATTGTGGCCGTCACGCGCACCCCCACACACACCATGTTCCCCCCACACACACACACGCCTGTCGTCACCAGCAAAACCAACAACAATCCAATTCGCTTGTCAGGTAAAACCAGAAACACCCGCCAGGAACCAGAGGCCGATTCATTGCAAAGCCAGACAAAGCCAGATTATATATCTATAAATAGCTATAAATATCTATAAATACCTTTTAAAAACTTTGTAAAAGTCGGGAGGGGTTTTTAGAGACGTGCTGCGGTTGGCAAGGGGGGGTCCCGGATCTGGATGTGAAGTGGGGGCGGGGAGGGGGCTGGGGGGGGACAGGGGTCCACACAATTTATTATTATTAAATTTTTTTGTTGTTGAGGTTTTTGTGGCTTTGGACTCTCTGGGGAGAAGTTGAAAGGAAGAAAAACACAAACCAAAGGAGGCCCCCCCAGGGGTATTCCCCCCCCCGCATGCCACTGGGCTGCCCCCCCAGGGGTATTCCTCCCCTCCCCAATGTACGTAAACCGTTCTTGTTCCCTCTGAAATCCAGTTGGGGGGTGCTGGATGCGGCCTGTCGTTCTCTGCCTGGGGGGGGGGGTGGGAAGCTGTTTGATTTGAAGCCTGTTTCGGGGGGGGGCAGCGACCTCCACAGATAAAATCTGCTGGGGGCACATAGGCTGGCGCGTGGCACCGTGGGGGGGTGGGTGGCTTAGTGCCTGGGGGGCTGCTGCTCATTCACCTGCTTGGTCCGTTCCTGTCACACACAGGGGTTTGGGGGGGGGCAGAGCTGAGCCTGGCATTGGCCCAGCCACCCTGTTAGCCCCCCAGGGCCCTGGCTGCCCCCGACCCGGGCCTGCCCCACATGATCAGGTCTGGGCCCGGGGTGAAGATGGGGCTGGAGCTTGCACTCTCTGGGGACAGGCAGGAGGCCAGGCCAGGGGGTGGCGTTAGTCTGCTGGTGCCCCGGGCCCCACCTCATCCCCCGGCTCCCCCAAGCCGGCTGCTCTGGTGCAGGCATGGGGCTTATAGCCTGTTAGCGGGGGGGGGCAGCAGGGTTCCCTGGCCTAGGTGAGTCTCCTCCCCCGCCACACGCCCATCTCCTTGTGGTGTCTGCCCTGCGACGGGAATAGCTGGTGGGGGGGTGGGAACTGGCTGCAGCACTTGCTTCCCCCGCCCCCCCCCGGTCCCTGCTCTGCTATCACACAGACAGGTTGGCCCAGTTGGCGTATTCCACCGACCCCGCCCAACTCCAGCTGGGTGCCCCACGCAGCCGGGCCAGGCGCACCCTAGGCTGCTGGGGGGCGTGAAGCCGAGCACGACCAGCTGAGAACCGGGGGGGGGTCTCGCTTGGGGAGAAGCACCTAGAGTCCAGGAAAGCAGCTGCCCTCCTCACCTGAGACACACACTGTGGGCGGGGGGGCAGCGTCCCGGGGCCGGTGGACGGGTGGCTCTGAGCCATGAGTGTCAGCCGGGTGTGGGGGCCATTGGCCAGACCCTGGGCTGGCAGAGGTCACTGGGAAGAGCCGGGTCGCCCGGGACGGGCAGGCTCTGCTCGGGGCGAGCTCAGCCCTAGGCTCCGACCCGCCCAGGTGCGGGCAGGGCAGGGGCACACGGCGCGGCCCAGCACCGGTGCTGGCAGAGGCCCAGAGGGGAGGGCCAGGGCTTGCCTGAGCCAGCTCCTGGTGCCCGCCCTGGCGTGTCAAGGGCAGCGCTGGGGGCTGGGCCGGGACCCGCCCGGCTGAGCCGAGGGCAGATCCTGCCCAGGGAGGAGAGGGGGGCTGCTCATTATCAGGGTTGTGGCTTATTAAAGCATCCTGGGCCCCATGGGCCTGCTGCTCTGGGCTCTGGGCACCAGGGGGCAGCAAAGCTGCGCTGCTGCTCCCCCCCCCACACACACACAGTGCCTGGGCTCTGAGCAGCCTACGCCCCCCCCCAGCAGACGTATTAATACCAGGGCTGTTGATTAATCAGTTAACTCACGCGTGAGTCAAATTAATCGTGATTAATCGCACTGTTACTCGGATACCAATGGAAATGGATTCACTATTTTTGGATGCTTTTCTACATTTTCAAATTTATCGATTTCTGTTACAACACCGAATACGACATATTCAGTGCTCCCTTTCTGTTCGTTTTCATTACACATATTTGCAGTGTAAAAATGATAAAAGAAATAGTCTTTTTCAATTCACCTCTCCACGTACTGTAGTGCAATCTCTTTGTCCTGAAAGTGCAACTTACGAATGTGGAACTTTTTTTGTTACATAACTGCACTCAAAAACAGAACAATGGAAAACTTCAGAGCCTACAGGTCCACTCAGTCCTACTTCTTGTTCAGTCAATCGCTGAGACAGACACGTTTGGTTACATTTACAGGAGATAATGCTGCCCTCTTCTTATTTACCATGTCACCAGAAAGTGAGAACAGGCAATTGCATGGCACTTTTGTAACTGGCATTGCAAGGTATTTACATGCCAGATATGCTAAACATCCGTATGCCCCTTCATGCTTCGGCCACCATTCCAGAGGACATGCTTCCATGCTTATGATGCTTGTTAAAAAAATAATCCGTTAATTAAATTTGTGACTGAACTCCTTGGGGGAGAATTGTATAGCCCCTGTTCTGTTTTACCTGCATTCTGCCCTATATTTCATCATATAGCAGTCTCGGATGATGACCCAGCACATGTTGTCTGATTTACGAACACTGTCACTGCAGATTTGACAAAACGCAAAGAAGGTACCAATGTGAGATTTCTAAAAATAGCTACAGCACTTGACTCCAGGTTTAAGAATCTGAAATGCCTTCCAAAATCTGAGAGGGACAAGGTGTGGAGCATGCTGCCAAGAGTCTTAAAAGAGCAACACTCCAATGCGGGAACTACAGAACCTGAACCACCAAAAAAGAAAATCAACCTTCTGCTGGTGGCATCTGACTCAGATAATGAAAATTAACATGTGTCGGTCCGCACTGCTTTGGAGTCTTATCGAGCAGAACCTGTCATCAGCATGGACGCATGTCCCCTGGAATGGTGGTTGAAGCATGAAGGGACATATGAATCTTTAGCACATTTGGCATGTGAATATCTTGTGACGCCGGCTACAACAGTGCCATGAGAACCCCTGTTCTCATTTTCAGCTGACATTGCAAACAAGAAGCGGGCAGCATTAGCTCCTGCAACTGTAAACAAACTTGTTTGTCTGAGCGATTGGCTGAACAAGAAGTAGGACTGAGTGGACTTGTAGGCTCTAAAGTTTTACATTGTTCTGTTTTTGAACGCAGGTTTGTTTGTTTTTTGTACATAATTTGACATTTGTAAGTTCAACTTTCAGGATAAAGAGATTGCACTACAGTACTGTATTAGGTGAACTGAAATACACTATTTTTGTTTTTTACAGTGCAAATGTTTGTAATAAAATAAATAGAAAGTGAGCAGTGTACACTTTGTATTTAGTGTTGTAATTGAAATTAATATTTGAAAATGTAGAAAACATTCAAAACTATTTAAATAAATGGTATTCTATTCTTGTTTAACAGTGCAGTTAATTAATCGTGCAATTAATTGTGATTAATTTATTTAATCGCATGACATTCCTAATTAATACAGCCTCGCCCAGGCACCTGCAGCACTATAGCTGGGGAAACTGAGGCACAGCAAGAGCCTTCCCCCACGGTGCGTCAAGGGCAGAGCAGGGAACAGAACCCAGGCGTCCTGGCTTAGGTAGTGGTGCTGCCATGAGAGGGTTAATGGGGGGGCCCTGACGCAGGATCTGGCATGGGAGGAGGGGGTTGGTGTTTTTCTTTTCTACCTTTTTTTCCATTAACCTCTGGGCGTGGTGCCACCCTCCTGCAACAGGAAACAGGAGACAAGGGGAACCTGGCACCCAGCCAGCCTCCCTCCCCCCCCACATAGCAACCCAACAGCCACTCCTGCCCTCCCGAAATGTGAGACCCTCACTGCAGCGCCCACGGCTGCCACAGGCTCCTGGCCACACACTGAGCGATTGATGGGAACCCTGACCCGCAGCTCCCTGCTAGTCTGTCCCTGGGCTCCCCCCCACACACCCTCACACCATGTCCAGCCTGCGCAGGGCAGGGCTGGCGTCTGACACCAGGCTCCACCCCATGCACGGCCATCCCAGGCCCCCAACCGCCGCTAAGCCCACGGGCGTCTGGACCCACACGCCTGGCGTGGCCAGAACAATCCTTACCACACAGCGCGCTGGGCCGGCCTGGGATTCCAACACGGGGCACTGCCAGCATCTCCCCACGGCCGGGCCTGGGCCAGGGCTCTGGTTATGGGCACCAGGCTCTGCCATGGTGGGGCCTCCGAGCGCTCGGGCAGAGGGAATGTGTCACTGATGGGACAGGTTGAATTTAGCTCCTGCTCCAAATCCAAGTGTGAAAACGAAGAGAGAACGCGACCTGTCCCCCCACACGGGCCCGCGCCACCATTCGGCTCACACCACAGCACCAACCTCGCACAAATCACCGGTTGGGCTCGGCTTTCTTAATTAAAAAGTTTTCTTCTGTTTATTCACACAAAGGTATAAAAACTGGCGATGCTGTTTCGCCTGGCCCCAGAGCCCCCTATCCCTGCCCGCCCCACCCAGCTTCCTGGCTTCAGGAACAGTCTCATCCCCCGAATGAGCAGCAGGCAGAGGGGCTGGGTCAGTTCATTGCCCCTCGTCTGGTCGCCTACACCAGCTGGAACGAGACCCCAGCGCTCCCATGTGCCAGCCGAATGCTCGAACCCATGGGCCGCGCTGTCACTCCTTGTAGCCGGGCCGGCTCCTTTCCTGACAGGGCAATACCCAGTTCAGCTCTCTGCCCGCTTGTGGCATGAGGGGCTTCGTGCCCTAGACTCAGGGCCCTCTGTGCACCCAAGGCAGGAGGGCAGGTCTCTGCCAGGCTGTACGGGGCTGGTACGGACCGCGGGCCCTGGCCACTCAGGGCTGAGAACGTCCCGCTCAGGTCACTGGTTTTGCTGCGGTGGCCCTGCTAAGCGGAGGGCCTGGTGACTGGCACAGATGGGAGTTGGGCCGTAGCGTGAGCCCTAGACCACCAAATCGGCCCTGGCCGCGGCCTGGGAGGCCTTGCTGCCCATGGAGGGGGCTTGGGGCCGGAACAGCGCTGAGGGCTCGTAGTGGTTGGGGACTCTGCAGGCCGCCCCCTTGGCGCCCCCGTTGCCCGGGGGCAGGAAGTGCTGGCACTGCTCGTGCGCCTGGTTGGACCAGTTTTCCTGCTGCTCGTAGGAGGCGGCCGGGGGCTTGTTGGCCGCTGTCCCCTGGCACCTGTCCTTGGCCAGCAGGTGGGCCAGCTCCACCAGGCTGAGCAGGGTGGAGACCACGCCCACCACGAAGTAGAAGAGGATGAAGATGGTTTTCTCGGTGGGCCGGGACACGAAGCAGTCCACGTAGTGGGGGCAGGGCGAGCGCTGGCAGGTGAAGTGCGGCTCCACGTGGAACCCGTACAGTTGCCACTGCCCCACCAGGAAGCTGCTCTCAGCCAGGATGCGCATGGCCACGTTGACCAGGTAGAAGGTGCGGACGTGGTGGGTGCGCTGGCTGGGCTGCAGGCGGGGCGGGCCCGCGGAGCCGCCCTCCTCGCCCTGACGCAGCTTGCCGCTCTGGTGCATGGCGTACATGACGAAGAGCAGGGCGGGCGCCGAGAGCACCACGATGTGGAAGACCCAGAAGCGGTAGTGGGAGATGGGGAAGGCCTTGTCGTAGCAGACCTGCTTGCAGCCCGGCTGCAGCGTGTTGCAGACAAACTCCTCCTGCTCGTCCTCGAAGATGTCGCTGCCCACCGTGGCCAGGATGAGGATGCGGAAGATCAGCATCACCACCAGCCAGAACCGGCCCACCATGGGCGAGTGCTCCTGCACGGCGTCCAGCAGCGAGCTCAGGAAACTCCACTCGCCCATGGCTGGGGCCGAGGCCGGGGCCGGGGCCGCTCTAGGGGAACCGCACCAGTTAGAGCTGCGGCCTGCTCCCCGCTCTGGGCACCCAGGGGCCCCCCGATGACAGCGTGGACATGGACCCCCTGCTAAACACAGCCCCCCTTAGCCAGGAGCCGTAAGCCAGCCACGGGGGGGGGGTTGTGCGCCCAGGGTCAAGGCGGTTCTCATCCATGGGGCTGCAGCGACCGCCCCCCGCCCCGGCTCCTCTCTGCCCGGACTGAGAGCTGCACCCATGAGCCGACCCGCGGTGGCACCCGGCCCAAGATGCTGGTGCACTGGCCACGCAGGAGCCCGGCTCTGTGCAGGGCACAGGTGGGACAGGGAGGCTGGGACGGGCTCACGGTTTGTGAGCTGCTGACTCCCGGGGCAGGCTGGGCACGGGCTCCTCTCGAGCAGCAGGGGGACAGGGGCTGAAAGACCCAGGTCCCAGCCCACATGTGGGTCAGGCCCCTGCTCCCCACATGCGATGCCACCCCGCATGCAGCACCCACCTGCAGCCAGCTCGGCCTCCCCCCTTGGAGGCAGCCGCTGCTGGCCACCAGCCCGGGCACCCCGGCACGGCGCTGGCATGGGGCACTAGTCTTCTTGGTCACGCAGGGCCAGTCCCGGGGGGGCTCGGGGCAGAGGCTGGCCTGGGCTCCCCCTTTTAAAGCCAAGGGGCTGGAGGGGATCTAGACCCCTGTGGCGTCTGTTCCTGTCAGCTGTTGCGGCACCAAGGGGCAAAGGCCCTGTCCCCATGGGGCCTGGCTGAGCGCCTCTGATGGGGGGGGGGGCCCTGCTAGTGTCCAGTGAGTCGGGGCTGGGGGCCCAGCCAGGGACCCCCCCGCAGGCCAGGATGTGCTCGTGGCCCACTGACCCCAGGTGTCACCAGTGCCCGGGGGCTGGACCCCCCCCCGTGCCCAGCCGGTCCCTCCAACCCTGGGGGGCCCAGCCTGCCCCAGGTGGGCTTTGGGGGAGGGGCGGGGCGGCCCCAGGCCACGAGGGGAGCGGAGCGGGGGGGGGCGTGC